AATATTAGAGAAAAAATTAGAGGAGAATCTAGAAAATCTATTAAAATGATAAGTAAAAAAAAAACTAAAAACTAGTTATTTGAAAAGACAAACAATTGACAAAACTTCAGCCAACCTGATTACAAAGAAGGTAGGAAATCAACAAAATAGCAAAGGAACAAATGTGAAATCACAGCAAAACCAGAAGAAATAAAAAGAAGAATTAGAGTATGTTATGCACAGTTATATGCTAACAAAACTGAGGACACAAAAGAAATAGAGCAATACCTTCAAAAATATAAAATACTCTATGTAACAGAAGACCATATAAGGATTTTAAATAATCCAATGTCAGAAAAATAATGAACCCAAAGACCCCAGCTTCTGGGATAAGAACTCACTCTTTGACAAAAACTGCTGGGAAAACTGGAAAAGAGTATGGCAGAAACTAGGCATAGATCAAAATCTCACACCATATACCAAGATAAAGTCAAAATGGGTCCATGATTTAGATATAAAGGCTGATACTGTAAGCAAACTGGGAGAGCAAGGAATGAATAGTTTACCTATCAGATTTATGGAGAACAGAAGAATTCATGACCAAACAGGAGACAGAGAATATTATGAAATGTAAAATGGAGAACCTTAATTACATTAAATTGAAAAGTTTTTGCACAAACAAAACTAATGCAAGCAAGATTAGAAGGAAAGTAGAAAATTGGGAAAGAATTTTTACAACCAGTCTCTCTGATAAGGGACTTATCTCTAAAATATATAGAGAATTAAGTCAAATTTATAAGAATACAAGTCATTCCCCCAATTGATAAATGGTCAAAGGATATGAGTAGGCAGTTTTCAGATGAAAAAATTAAAACCATCTATAAGTCATATGAAAAAATGCTCTAAACCACTATTGATTAGAGACATGCAAATTGAAACAACTCTGAGGTACCACATGACACATATCAGATTAGCCAGCATGACAAAACAGGAAAATGATAAATGTTGGAGAAGATGTGGGAGAAAAGGAACACTAATGCATTATTGGTGGAGCTGTGAAATTGATCCAACCATTTTGGAGAGCAATTTGGAACTATGCCCAAAGGGCTATAAAAATGTGCATACCCTTTGACCCAGCAATAGCACTTCTAGGGCTATATCCCAAAGAGATTATACAAATAGGAAAAGGATCCACATGTACAAAAATATTTATAGCAGCTCTTTTTGTGGTGGCAAAGAATTGGAAATTAAGAGGATGCCCAAAAATTCAGAAATGGCTGAACAAGTTGTGGTATATGAATGTAATGGGATACTATTGTGCTATAAGAAATGATGAACAGACAGACTTCAGAAAAACCTGGAAAGTCTTGTATGGTCTGATGCTGAGTGAAGTGAGCAGAACCAAGAGAACGCTGTACACAGTAACAGCCACGTTGTTCGATAACTAATATTGATAAACTTAACCCTTCCCAGCAATACAAGGATCTAAGACATCTCCAGAGGCCTCGTGATGGAAAATGCTATCCACATCCAAAGAAAGAACTATGGAGTTTGAATGCAGATCGAAGCATACTATTTACTTTTTTTTCCCTTCTGTTTTGTTTTGTTTCCTCCTTCTTGTAGTTCCTCCTATTGGTTCTAATTCTTCCTTACAACATCACTAATGTGAAAATATGTCTAATAGGAATGTATATGTATAGCTTATATCAGATTGTATGCCATCTTGGGGAGGGAGGTGGAGAGGGAGGGGGAGAAAAATTTTAAACTCAAAAACTTATGGAAGTGATGGTTGATAAATCAAAATAAATTAATTTTTAAAAAAAGAAAAAGAAAAATCATGAGAACTGACTGTTAAGAAATTATTCAAAAGAAAAAACTATTTCTTGTCCTGGTGGATTCACAAATGAATTCTATCAAACTTTTAAAGAATAATTAGTACCAATACTACACAAATTATTCTCAAAAAGTGAAAGAATCCAATTGGATTCTTTTTACAAGACCAATATAGTCCTGATACTTAAACCAGGAAAGGATAAAGCATAGAACTATAGACCAATATCATTAATGAACAGTGACTACAATTTTAAAAATCTTATAAATAGACTACAGTAATCCTTTAAAAAAAATCATTCATCATGACCAAGTGAGATTTATTCCAGGGATGCAAAGATGGTTCAACATTAGGAAAAGAAAAATCATAATCATATTAAAAACCAAAACATCTGAAATCTGATAATTACCTCAAAAGATGTGAAAAAAGCCTTTGACAAAGTACAACACTCAGGAGGAGGAGGAGGAAGAGGAGGAAAAGAAGAGACATAAAGGGACTTTAAAAAATATCATCAAAAGGGACAGCTAGGTGGCGCAGTGAATAGAGCACCAGCCCTGGAGTCAGGAGGACTTGAGTTCAAATTTGACCTCAAACACATAACACTGGCTAGCTGTGTGACTCTGGGTAAGTCACTTAACCCCAATTGCCTCACCAAGAAAAAAAAAAATTTAGTTTATATCTGAAACCAAAAGCAAGTACCTTATGCAATGGAGGTGCACTAGAACCTTTCCCAATAAATGCAAGAGTTAAGCAAATATATCCAGGGCCTGTGGCCTTCTAGGTCCTCAAGGACAGCCTTTGACTGAGTCCAAGTTTTACAGAACAAATCCTTTTATCAAGGGGATTTGTTCTGTGAAGTTTGGATTCAGTCACAGGGCTGCCCTTGAGGACCTAGAGGACCACATGTGGCCTTGAGGCTGCAGGTTCCCCACCCTTGGCACTCTTCCCTCTATTATTTGATATTCTTCTGGAAATGCTAGCAATAGCAATAAAACAAAATAAAGACATTAAAGACATAAAGATAGGTAAAAAGGAGATAAAACTATACCTCTTTGCTGATGATAAAATGTTTTACTTAGAAAATCCTAGGGAATCAGCAAAGATATTAATAAATAACTTCAGTAAAGTTTCAGGCTACAAAATCAATCCTCAAAAATCAACAGCATTTCTATATAATAGTAAAAAAAATACACGAGGCAATAATATATAGGGAAATCCTGTTCCAAGTAACTATAAAATGAATAAAATATCTGGAGATCAATCTACCAGAACATACAAAATACTTGTATCGATTCAGAGAAGAGGGCATATACAAGGAATGTTATGATGGCAGGACCAATACTACTTGATTGGATTATGGGGGTGAGATAGAGTGGGAGTTGAGGATGCCACTTGTGATCCTGGATGACTGGGAGGATGGTGGTGCCCTTAACAGAATCTGGAAGTCAGAAAGAAAGGAGAGTTTTTTGGGGGGAAGATGAGTTCAGTTTTGGACATGCTGGGTTTGAGATGTCTATAGGACATGTAGTTCAATATGTTAAGAGGCAGTTGGAGGTTACAGACTGAAGGTCTGAAGAGAGGTTAAGGCTGGACCAGTGGATCTGAGAGTCATCTAAATAGAGTTGAGAATTGAAACCACAGGAGCTGATAAGATCATCCAGTGAAATAGTATGGAGGGAGAAGAGAAGAAAGTCCAGGACAGAGACTTGAGGGACACCTACTATTAGCAGGAGTAACCTGCATGAAAAATCCAGCAATTGAGATTGAGAGACCAGATAGGCAGGGAAGAATAAACATTCATATAGTGCTTACTCTATGCCAGGCACTGTGCTAAGTGCTTTTTACAAATATGACCTCTTTGATCCTCACTACAACCCTGAGAGGTAGATGCTTTTATTATCCCTATTTTATACTTGAGGAAACTGAGGCAAATAGAAGCTAAGTGACTTGTACAAGGTCATATAGCTAAGAAGTATCTGAAGGCAAATTTCAACTTGGGTCTTCCTGACTCCAGGCCCAGAACTCTACTCACTATATCACCAGCTGCCTCCATAACAGATAGGTAAGGGGAGAAGCAATAGAGAACTATGTCTCTAAAACCCAGAGAGAAGAGAGTATCAAGGAGGAAAAGGTGATTAAGGGTCAAAGGCTGCAGAGAAATCAAGGAGAATGAGGACTAAGAAAAGGCCTTTGGATTTATCCCAGCGATATGCCAGGGAGGGTCCCAGCCTGAGCCTCTGGCTTTACTTTACTGGAAAATACTGAGGCCACTGCTTCTCCTCTAACCCATCTATTATGGAGGCAGCTGGTGATACAGTGGGTGCCGGCCTGGATTCAGGAAGACCTGAGTTCAAATGAACTAAGAGATCTTTGGTAACTTTGGAGAGAGCAGTTTCAGTTGAATAATGAATTTGGAAGCCAGATTATAGAGAGTTAAGGGTAAGAGGAAGGGAAGTGGATGGCCTTCTCAAGGAGTTTAACCACGAAAGGGAGAAGATACATGGGAAACATATGGGATGATAGCTAGAGGATGGATGGATCAAGTCGGTTTTTGGTTTTGGTTTTTTGAGGCTAAGCATGGTTGTAGGCAGTAGGGAAGCAGCTAGTAGACAGGGAGAGATTGAAGATCAGTGAGACATCAATCTGCTGGAGAAGATGGGACGGCATGGGGTCTCTTGTGCATGTAAAATGGTTGGCCTTGGCAAGGAGAATGGTCAATCCATGGAGTGAAGGAGGAGACAGTGAGGGAGGGCGTGAGGGTGATGTGGGATGGGGAGGAGGAGAGGGGAAGGGAGGGGAACAGAGGCAGCTCTCAGCTAATCACATCACTTTTTCTCAGTAAAATAGGGATTCCAGAGTCTTAGGCTGGGATTCGCCCTCCCCAGATTCTCGGGAAACAGGGAATCCATTCATTTTAGCAATATTTTTGATTTAATGGCAAATGCCCTCCAGTTAATACAGATATCTTCAGTCCGCCCACCACGCCGTTGCCAGGCTACCGTTCCGCCCCTTTGATTTGACTTTTCCCTTCTGCCACGCCTCCCCAGATTTTCCCCGCCCAGGAGCCGCATTCCAAGCTTTTCATTGCACTCTGGCTGCATCTTACACCCATCGGACATTTTCTGGCGGCTCAGCCAGCCAATCAGCGTTGGGCAGACATTGTGGCACGTGATCGCTCCTTAAAAGGCGGGGGAGGCGGGGCAGGCCGGAGAGCCTCCTGGAGATTTGATTCCAGCGGAGGGGTCAGAAAACTTGAGCCCTCTGCCCCTGTAGAGTTCAGGAGCCTCGAAGCCTCCTGTGCACCTCGCCCTCGGGGCCGCTGGGCAGAAGCTGCGCATTCTCGCTTGGAAGCTGCGATGGCGACAGCGGCGGTGAGCCCTAGCGCAGCTTCTCTGTGTGCAGTTGGGGTGCTGGGGAGGGGACGTGGTCGGGATGAGGGTGGGGGACGGGCATGGCTACACCTGTCGGCCCTTAGATGCAGCCGCTTCTCGGCCTCCAGAAGCCGGGCAGGCCGAGCTTTGGCCTGCGCCTTAGGGAGAGAGCCAGGGCAGCCATAGAGAGAACCCGAGAGATCGAGAAAGGGGGAGAAGAGCCCCCTGCGGATGCGCAGGGGGCAGCTCTCCGGGGCCCACGGAGGGGCGGGGGGCGGAGGGCGGGAGGCGGGAGGCAATGTCGTGATTCCAGAGGGGGCAACCGCCTCCGGTCCTTGAACTTCGCGCAGAAAATTGCCCAGGGTGAACGAGACACGTGCACGTCTGGCTCCGATCCCCCAATAACGGAAACTGGACTCCCGAGGCTTAGGAGAGCCTCCCAGGCTATTGGGGGGGGCACGGGGGGGGGGTACTGAGGCTCAGGGCGGAGAACGGACTGGCCCAACAGCACAGCTAGGATCCTAGACCTAGAGACGGGAGGGCTCTAAGCCCCCGACCTCTCCTTTTACAGAGAAAGGAAACTGAAGCCGCGGGAGAGAAAGTGATTAGTGTGAAATCGCATATACTGTCCTAAGGCTAGAGCTGGGAGGGGCCTCAAAGGCAGTCGAGTTCAACCCTTTCGTTTTACAGAAGGGGAAACTGAGGCCTAGGGAAGGGAAGGGATCTGCCCAAGGTCACATATTGCATCATAGGCTTAGAGCTGAATGGGGCCTCCTAGGCCATCTAGCCCTACCCCTCTCCTCATTTTTTTTTTTCATTTTCCACTAGAGGAACATGAGGCCCAGGAAATTCTTTGTTCAAGGTCACACACAGAGGAGAAACGTGAGGCCCAGAGATGGGAAGGGATTTGTTCAAGGTCAAACACCGAATCATAGCCTTGGAGCTGGAAGGGCCCTCCAAGGCCATCCAGCCCTACCCCCGAATTTTTCATTTTACAGAGAATGAGCAGAAGGCCCACTAAAATGATTTGTTCAAGGTCACACTGAAGAAACTAGACCTAGAGATGGGAGAGGCCTTAGAAGCCATCTAGGTAATTTATACTCAAGTTATCCTGCCTAGAGACAGCTAGATCACCCCAAATGGATAGGGCTGTAGGCCTAGAATCAGGAACATCTGAATTCAAATGGATCCCCATATACTTAGTAGTTGTGTAACCCTGGGCAAGTCATTAAACCTCTATCTGCCTCAGTTTCCTCAGCTGTAAACTGGGAATACTAATAGCAACTACCTCTCAGAATTGTTGGGAGGATCAAATGAGATATTAAGGGAATGCTTATTCCCTTCCCTTTGTGGAAGTGAGATGAACTTGGCCCAACTTTGATAAGCGTATATGCTGATTTTTTCTTTTAGGACTTTAAAACCAATGCGGATCAGGCTTGTAGAGCTGCTGAAGAGTTTGTCAATGTTTACTATGACACCATAGATAAAAGAAGGGGGGTAAGTATTATAGGCACTTAAAACAACTGAGACCCATTTGGCTTTACTCACAGCCTCCTCGGCTGCTTTGCATAAGTGACTGGATATTTCTGTCCACTTTACTACCAGCTGTTTTATATTTCTTAGCCATGGATTTAGAACTGGAATGAGCCTTTGAAGTCATCTAGTCTAATCCCTTCATTTTACAATTAAGTAAACTGAGGCTCAGAAAAGTCAAGTCTTTGTATGGTCTGATGCTAAGTGAAATAAGCAGAACCAGGAGAACGTTGTACACAATAACAGCCATGTTGTTCGATGACTAATATTGATAAACTTAACCCTTCTCAGCATTACAAGGATCTAAGACATCTCCAGAGGCCTCATGATGGAAAATTTTATCCACATCCAAAGAAAGAACTATGGAGTTTGAATGCAGATGGAAGCATACTATTTGCTCTTTTTTTCTTCTGTTGAATTTTGTTTCTTCTTTCTGGTGGTTCCTCCTATTGGTTCTAATTCTTACTTACAGCATCACTAATGTGAAAATATGTTTAATAGGAATGTATATGTATAGCCTATATCAGATTACATGCTGTCTTGGGAAGGGAGGGGGAGAAAAATTTAAAACTCAAAAGCTTATGGAAGTTATTGTTGATAATTCAAAATAAATTAATTAAAATTAAAAAAAAAAAGAAAAGTCAAGTCTTGCTTAGTGTCACAAGGAATAAAAAATAACAGGCAGGATTTCAACACAGGTCCTGTGATTTCAAAGTCAAACTGCCAAAATAGGATAATGCTAGTGAGCCCACCAGGTACTAGATGTGACATTTGATCTAATGCTACCTGATTTGAACCTTTTTTTAAATTAATTTATTTTGATTTATCAACAATCACTTCTATAAGCTTTTGAGTTTTAAATTTTTCTCCCCCTCCCTCCCCACGACAGCACACAATCTGATATAGGCTATACATATACATTCCTATTAAACATATTTTCACATTAGTGATGTTGTAAGGAAGAATTAGAACCAATAGGAGGAACCACCAGAAAGAGGAAACAAAACTCAACAGAAGAAAAAAAAATAGCAAATACTATATGCTTCGATCTGCATTCAAACTCCATAGTTCTTTCTTTGGACGTGGATAGCATTTTCCATCATGAGGCCTTTGGAGATGTCTTAGATCCTTGTATTGCTGGGAAGGGTTAAGTTTATCAATATTAGTCATCGAACAACATGGCTGTTACTGTGTACAACGTTCTCCTGGTTCTGCTCACTTCACTCAGCATCAGATCATACAAGTCTTTCCAGGTTTTTCTGAGGTCAGCCTGTTCATTATTTCTTATAGCACAATTGTATCCCATTACATTCATATACCACAACTTGTTCAACTGATGGGCATTCTCTCAATTTCCAATTCTTTGCCACCACAAAAAGAGCTGCTATGAATATTTTTGTACATGTGGGTCCTTTTCCCATTTGTTTGATCTCTTTGGGATATAGCCCTAGAAGTGCTATTGCTGGGTCAAAGGGTATGCACATTTTTGTAGCCCTTTGGGCATAGTTCCAAATTGTTCTCCAGAATGGTTGGATCAGTTCACAACTCCACCAACAATGTATTAGTGTTCCAATTTTCCCACATCTTCTCCAACATTTATCATTTTCCTGTTTTGTCACGTTGGTCAATCTGATAGGTGTGATGTGGTACCTCAGGGTTGTTTTGATTTGCATTTCTCTAATCAATAATGATTTAGAGCATTTTTTCATATGATTATAGATGGCTTTAATTTCTTTGTCTGAGAACTGCCTGTTCATATCCTTTGACTACTTATCCATTGGGGAATGAATTGAACCTTTTTTTAAAGTAACTACTGCAGGTGGTATATTAGATGAAGCCCTGGACCTGGAGTCAGGAAGACCTGAGTTCAAATCCAGCCTCACTTACTAGTTATGTGACTCTGGACAAGTCACTGAACTTCTGTCTGTATCAGTTTCCTCATCTGTAAAATGGGCATCATAACAGCATCTCTATCCCAGGGTGGTCGGGAAGATAAAATAGAAAATACTTGTAAGAGAGAGGTATTGAACACTCAAGCAGCCACAACATTCCCAAGTGTGACCTGAACTAGATTCAAATGTAATTGGGAAATGTTGAACGAAAGAAAGAAAAATACAACAGAGATGATGTTAATTTGTGGTTCTCTAAGTTAATATGCAGCAGCAGGGATCCATTTCTATTTGAGTCTGACACTTCTGCCATAAAGCACTTTGCAGGCCTTGAAGCCTATGCACATGCTACCTATTATTTGTCCCCCCTCTATTACAGACCATTTCTGGTTACATTAGAAAGGTATTTGATTCACAGCCCAGTTGATTTGACACTATACAGCTATAATCCCTAACCTTTCCCATACCAGGTTTTTTTTTAATTAAAATTTTTTAAATTAAATTAAATTTAAAATATTTTCATTAAAACTTCATGCCCTTCATTTCCCTAAAGGGAAGAATTGAGTATATATTCCAGTAGAATTGATGACATGGGGTTGGGAAAGTTCCACTAAAAGTGGAAGACAAGTAGACTTGGTGTCAGAAAAAAATTACACAGAACAGAAATCTCTATCTTTACGTTTTCCTTAGATGATGACAAGACTGTACCTTGATATGGCTACTTTGGTTTGGAATGGAAATGTTGTCAATGGACAAGATGCTTTGGGTAAATTTTTTGAGGCGTTGCCTGCCAGCGAATTTCAGGTCAACGTAGTGGACTGTCAACCTGTTCATGGTAAGACCAGGGGTTTTCTTGGCAATGAGCATTTTGTTCTCATGTGCTAAGCATTAGACTTTCATTAGTCAAAGCAGGTTGTTGAGGAATTTTGTATTTTACTACTAGTCAATCACAGAATCTTAAAACCTGGGAAAAGACCTTCTAGTTCAGGCCCATCATTTGGCAAATGAGAAAATAGAGTCGGGGCAGCTAGGTGGCATAGTGGATAGAGCATCGACCCTGAATTCAGGAGGACCTGAGTTCAAATCCGGCCTCAGACCAAACACTTGACACTTACTAGCTATGTGACCTTGGGCAAGTCACTTAACCCCAATTGCCTTAAAAAAAAAAAAAAAGGAAGAAAGAAACAATAAAATAGTCCATTTTCCAATAGTCCAATAGTCCAAAAAAGAATATAGTCCACACCTGGACTGTAGCCTGCTGGGGGTGGTCTGTCTCCTCAAGTCTCTCCCCACTCCAATCCATCCTCCATTCAGCCACCAAAGTGATTTTCCTGAAATGCACATCTGATCATGTCATGCCCATACGCGGTAAACTTCGCGGGTTCTCTTTTGCCTTCAGGAGCAGATACAAAATGCTCCATTTGGCATTGAAAGCCTTTCATCACTTAGCCCCCTCCTACCTTGCCAGTCTTCTCACACCTAATCCCTCCCCCCCCCAACCCCACCCAAGACATATTGTTCGATCTAGTGACACTGGCTTCCTGGCTATTCCACCAACAAGACATTCCCTCTCTCAACTCCGGGCATTTTTTCTGGGTGTCCCCCATACCTGGAACAGCTGCCTTCCTTCACTGTGAGTACCGATGTCCCCCCCCTTTGACTCCCAACTAAAATCCCACCTCCTACAGGAAGCCTTCCCTAATTCCTCTTAATTCTAGTTCCTTCCCTCTCTTAATTATTTCTTACTTGTTCTGACTGTAGTTTACTTTGTATATATTTGTTTATATACTGGGTCCCCCTTTAGATGTAAACTCCTCCAGGCAGGAACTGACTTTTGCCTCTTTTCAAATCCCCCACACTTAGGCCAGTGCCTAGCACTGATGCTAAATCAATGTTTATTGATATAAATAAAAGTGCTTAATCAATGTTCATTGATTGCTGGTCTAGGAGCTTAGAGATCTGGGATCTCTTCGAGTCTTGACCTCTGCCCCTTAACTAGTTTTCAGAACTGAAGCAAATCACAGAAGCTCATGAAAGGAGAGATATTTTAGGAGGGAAGAAAACTTGAGAGTCATTCAGTAGTCAAGTATTTGGCCTGTAAGCTCTTCCATTCGAAAGGCTTTTCTCTCTGTATCCTGGAATAGTTTCCTGTTTGTGGTGATTCATGGGCTTACAGAGAAATGTCAGGGTTAAATGGGACTTTGGGTGCAGAGGAAGGAACTAGAGAAATTCTCAAGCACATACTTGCCTGCTGTGCCCTGAAAAGTCTAGTTGAGAGTTACCCAGAATTGCTGAATAATGTATTCAGATTTCTTAGAGTCCTTTAATGCTTAAAAAAGTAATTTAGGCCTAGACTCAAACTGTAACAGTTACTATTTCATGATCTCTTTCCCTTCTAGGTGGGCCAGAAGTCTGTCTTTTCTTTTTCTGGTACTATTTCTGGGTGACTTGAGTTCCCCAGCAAAAACAGCTTTGTGAAATGCAGCCTTCGACTTTACATATTCAGTCATCCATTTAGAAGGAATGGAGCTTTGATATGTCTTTGAAATGCACCTGTGGCTTTTAGCTTTCTGACTTTGTGGGTCACATAGTACAGGCAGGATATCTATATATCATCTATGGTGACACTGGAGATTTTCTAGTTAGAGTAGATGGCAAGGTCAATTTAAGAAACATTTCTACTGGGTGCAGGGAATAGTGCTTGGCCCTATGGAAGACGGAAGGAAGGAAGAAGAGGGTAAGGGAGGGGAGAAGAGTTCATTTTTGTCCCTGAGGAGCTTAAATTCTGGTGGGGGGAGAGAGCATGTTATAGAGACCCAAGATAATTGGAGTAGGGAAAGAGTACCACCAATGGGGGAAATCAGGGAAGGTCTTGTGTGGTACGTGATCTGAAAGTTGAATGAAAAGAAATATTGAGGCAGAGGTGGTAAGGATGGGAGGATATTCCAGAAATAGTATTATTACTTTTTGGAGAGGGAAGGAAGATAGGAAAGATACCACCTGTATGAAGACAGAGATGGGGAAGTAGGATGTGGGTTTACAGAACAGCAAATAGGAGAGGGTTTTAAGGGGACTCCTATAGAAACATCTCCAAAGGGAGTTTGGAGCCAGATGGTGAAGGACTTTATATGCCAACCTGAAGAACCTGTGCTTTGCCCTAGGGGCAATAAGGAGGCAGCAGGTGGCATTTGGGCTGGCGAATGACATGAGAGCCAACCTGTGCCTTAGGAATTGGGATTGGAAAGAGGAGACACTATTTGGGTCTTAGTGTATCTAACTTTTATGGGTGTTGCCATTCTCTCCCTCTTCTGTGTGTAGAGCATGCAACTCAGAGCCAAACAACCGTCCTCGTGGTGACCTGTGGAACAGTGAAATTTGATGGGAACAAACAGCGATATTTCAACCAGAATTTCCTGTTGACTGCCCAAGTCATGCCAGACAGCACCGTGTGGAAGATTGCAAGTGACTGCTTCCGTTTCCAGGATTGGTCTAATTAGGCCTGGCCAAAAATGGGACTCTCTTGTCTCTGGCCCAAATGGTCCAGTATTCTTTCTTTAAAATGTTTGAAATTTATTCATGTTTTCCTGTTGTCCACTTCATTTCAGAAGTGCTGTAAACCCAGGGTACGCCAGAGCTGATATATCTTTAAAAATGGTTTAAATTCCTAGAAGCAACTTTCATGGTTGCTCTTAAAAGCAGTGGAATTGTGTTTGGCTTAACATGCCTTTTAAATACTCTGTAACTGAAATGCTGAATGCTTACTGCTTTGTTAAAAGGGTAACTACCCCAAGATAACAAACAGTATAAACCTGATCCATCACAAAGATGGAATTCTTTGTGTCTCATGGGCCCTCTCATTAGCTTAGCATCACATAGGGTTGTACAGGGTAAATAATATACAAACACTCACCTTCTTTCAGTAAATGTGAAAGTAGCCTCAACTTAGGATCCATCTAAGTCAGGACAGTTGAAACACTGTTGATTTTTACTGGCTGGGTTTTCATAACTACTCAGATGTTCTGGAAATGTATTTGTGAAGTGATATTCAGATTGTGATTTTTAATGAATTATAAAGTTAATATTAAAAACCAGTAGAACCAAACTGTTTGTGAAACTAGATATATTTGAATAAAAGAGTTTGAATGCATAAATGTCTCCATTTTGTAATTACTACAAGTATTCATCAACTTTGCCCTTTCTCATCACTTTTCCTTTTGCATGGTTGTCATTAATATAGACTCTTTTCTCTGGTTCTTCTGTTTTCACTTCGTACTGTTTCACAAAGGGTTTTTTCTCCACATTTCTCTATATTCTTCATGTTTGTTTATCTTAATTATTAGCTGATTTAACTGTATTGTGGTATGCTGTTATAGTCACATACCATGATTCATCTTAAGTATTCTTCTGTGGTTGGATGTGTCACTTCCAGTTTTTTTAAATTACAAATGATGCCATTTTAAGCATTTCTGGATGTAGTGCTCCTTTTTTTCCCTTTCCAATGATACTCTTAGGGTCTATTTCCCAAAACTGAGTTATTGAGTCAGAGGTTATAACTTGTTTTTGTAATTTCCACTGTGTACTGCCACATGGCTTTCCCAAAAGATTCGAGTACTTTGCATTTTCACTGGTCAAAAGGGAAGACAGCAGAGTCTGTTTTGGAGTAGAGTCCAGCTCATAGTACCCAGCTCATGGGAAGTACTAAGATAAGCCCTGTCAATCTTGCCCCCACACTCTTGCCATTTACTTAGTATGAAACCACTGTGCTTCAGCAGGGAAAAAATCTGGATATATGTGTCTTTGGTTCCATTTTTATTCAATGATGCCCATAGCTAGCCAGTTCTAGTAAAGGTGGGTACCTTTAGTCACTGAAAATGTCCCAGTTAAGTTCCTTAGAGATCATATCTTCTGTACCCATGGAGCTACACACCAATGCTCAATACCACATTTGTTACTAGGGAGGCAGCTTAATTTTAATTGTTCATTTGTTACATACTCTCCTGGAGCCTGGGTGGCTCAGTGGATAGAGCACTAGGGCTGGAGTCAGGAGGACCTGAGTTCAAATCTAGCCTCAGATACTTACTAGCTGTGTGACCCTGGGCAAATCACTTAACCTCTGTTTGCCTTAGAGCGCTGGAGAAGGAAATGACACACCACTCCAGAATCTTTGCCAAGGAAACCCCACGTGGATAGAGCTCTGGTCTTAGAGTCAGGACAACCTGAGTCCAAATCCGGTCTCAGACACATGATACTAGCTGTGTGACCCTTGGCAACTCACTTAACTCCAACTGCCTCACCAAAAAAAAAAAAAATTAAAGAAAACCCCATGGACAACACTGGTGTGCTATGGTCCATGGGATCATGAGGAGTCAAACACAACTGAACAACACCCTTCTAAGATGCTATTTCTGAATCTTGATTGGCAGTCTCCACCTTAGACTTTAGAGTCTAAATGGGGGGGGGGGGCAGTGGATAGAGTGCTGGGCCCAAAGTCAGGAAGACTCATCTTCCTAAGTTCAAGTCTGGCCTCAGGTACTTATTAGCTGTGTGACCCTGGGCAAGTCACTTCACCCAGTTTGCCTCAGTTTCCTCATCTGTAAAGTTAGCTGGAGAAGGAAATGGCAAACCACTCCAGTATCTTTGCCAGAAAAACCCCAAATGGGGTCATGAAGAGTTGGACATGACTGAAAAGTGACTGAACTGATGAGAAGATAAGGTGAGATCTTCATTCTACTTTGGGATCTTTGCTTTGACATGTATCAGTCTTTTAATTGGCCATAGCCTTGCTCATGAGATGGTCCCCTGGCAAATAGGTCTATGTGGCCTTGGCAAAACTTCTCGTGTAGGATGGGGCCTTTTCAGGAACATGTTGGGAAAATTGACAAGCAAAAGTTTTACAGATGTAGACATGTTTCTTTGGCAAGGGAATCTCCCAAATTGGGGCTTTGCCTTTGTGGCTGTATCAGGCACTACTGAATTTTCCTTAATTACAGGATGAAGTGGAGAATGTATTATAGACAAGTGTTTTTAGAACTCCACAAAGGATTTCTTAAACCAGAGTAATAAGCTATTCAAACCTTTCATGACTTAGGGGCTAATTCAGCAATCACCTGCTGGGCCTTAATTAGCCATCCCAATACAGGTTCTGAATTTTAGCAAAGCATTTGACAGTTTTTCATCCTATCCTTGGGGACAAGAGATAAAGAGATGTAGGCTAGACAATAGCATAATTATGTGGATTTGGAGCTGGTTAAATGGACAGACCCAAAGAGTAGAGTTCAGTGTCAACTTAGACCACCAGTGAAGTGCCCCAAACCTATGTCCTTGACCTTGTACTCTTTATCAATAACATAGACAATTGTATGGAGACAGAAAGCTTACTGAATTTGTGGGTGACACCAAGTTGAGAAGGATACCCAACACTGGATGAAATAGGATTCAAAAAAGATCTTAGTGTGCTAGATCATTGAACCAAATCTAGTAAGATAGAATTTCATTGGGTTAAAGGGACACTTGGGTTCAAAAAATTAATTTCACAAATACAGGATTGGGGAGGTGGGTCTAACAGCAGTTTAGAAAAGAGCTAGATGTTTCAGTGCTCATTCCAGTCAAGAAAGTTAATCCAATCTTAGGCCACATTAAGAGGCACAGTGCAAGCAAAGAGAGGCAACAAATAGGTATGCTGTGCTTTCCCTTGGTTGGGCCTAATTTGGAGTATTGTGCTCATTTCTGGGGCCACATTTTGGGTAGGAGCTTGACAAGCTGATATTTTACCTAGAGAAGAGAAAAAATAAGAGAAGAGGGGAGAGGAGGAGGAAAGAGAAGAGGAGAGAAGGGAAAAGGGGAGGGGAGAAGAAGGGAGCAGGGAGGGGAGGGGGAGAGGGAGGGAGAGGGGGAGGGGGGAAGAGAAGAGAAGAGAAGAGAAGAGAAGAGAAGAGAGAGAAGAGAAGAGAAGAGAAAGAGAAGAGGAGAAGAGAAGAGAAGAGAAGAGAAGAGAAGAGAAGAGAAGAGAAGAGAAGAGAAGAGAAGAGAAGAGAAGAGGAGAGGAGAGAAAAAAAATGCTGCAGCTTGAAGCCTTATCTGGTGCTTAAGGACTGCCATGAAGTGAGTATGGGCCCTGAGTCAAGGGAAGGATGCATGTGGGACTGAGGAGTCCATCCTGATGTGTGGGAGCTCAGAGCCCTGGAGATGTTGGTTCACACTAAGTGTTCCTGGAATAAGGACAGATTGTTGTTGTTCCATCATTTCAGTTGTGTCCAACTCTTCATGACTCCATTTGAGGTTTTCTTGGCAAAGATATTGGAGTGGTTTGCCATTTACTTCTCCAGCTCATTTTACAGATGAGAAAACTAGGGCAAACAGGGTGAAGTGACTTGCCCACGGTCACACTGCTAGTAAGTCACATTTGAACTCAGCTCCTGACTGGAGACCCAGAACTCAATCCACTGCAGCACCACCTAGCTGCCTACTATACCCACTGCCTCTCATTAAAATACATATGGAGGCAGCCCAAATCTAAGAGCCCCTTAAGCTCTGGGGTTTCATGGCTTGGTCTGATCTGGGAATTGACATTAGAAGACCCGTTATTTCACTGGCTTGTTATTGCTGATACTCAGCACTTACTCCGGGAAATCTCTGAGCATAGTTTAAATATAGCTCATGACCAGGTTTCCAAAAAAGTGAAAAAGGGGTATTCATCTCCCATACAAGAGGAAAAGGGATCAAGCATTTATTAAGCTCCTACTATGTGTCAGGCACTGTGATAAGTGCTTTACAAATATTATCTCATCTGATATAAGCTTTCAAGGTGACAGATGAATAACTAGTATAGAACAGCCTTTATTTCATCCCTCAAAAAATGCAGAAGATGAAAAAGAGCAAATGAACAAAACATATAAAGTGACTCTGAGTAGCCTATCAATAATCAACAGAATGGAACGGCTAGGTAGGAGAGTGGATAGAGCTCCGGGCCTGGAGTCAGGAAGACCTGAGTTCGAATCTGACCTCAGATACATACTAGCTGTGTGACCCTGGGCAAGTCACTGCACCCTGTTTGCCTCAGTTTCCTCATCTGTAAAATGAGCTGGAGAAGGAAATGGCAAACCACTCCAGTATCTTTGCCAAGAAAACCCCAAATGGGGTCATGAAGACTGAAAATGAGTCAACAACAACAGAATTATCTTCTTTCTTTGGTGGGTCTACTTTTTCACACAGTCCTAGATTCTTCCATACTTGGAGCCACCCTGGTGTTTGGATTCCCCTCAGAAGGGAAGTGGATCTGGGGTTATCCACAGAGCAGCACTAATATTCTGGTGAATCCCTACAGGGCCCTACAAAGTTCCCCCAAAGACTCATAATGTCAGTCTATGGTTTGGACTCCCTCCCCCCGAAGGAAAATATACTTTTGGGTTGCTATAGAGACAATTCCCCCCTTTCCCATCAGACCTACATTGTCTAAATAACTCATTGAAATAGTGGGATAAGGGGGTATATGTCCTTTGACTCAGTGATACCACTACTAGGCTTAAACCCCAAACAGATCAAAGAAAGAGGAAAAGTACCCATACGTACAAAAATATTTATAGCTGTTCTTTTTTTGTGGTGGCAAAGAACTGAAAACTAAGGGGGGAAGGTGATCATCAAGTGGGGAATGGATGAATGAATTCTGTGAATGTAACAGAATATCATCTCATTATAAGAAGTGATGAAAGGGATGGTTTTAGAGAAACCCAGAACCTCTGTGAACTGATGAAGAGTGAAGTGAACAAA